GGGCGGGGCGGGGTGGAGCGGCCAAACTCGACTGGCTAGCGACCGGGCAGGCAGGCCAGGCACCTTGCAGGTGGTGCGGTGCGAGGCGGGGTGGTCTCACTGGACCTGCGGGGCCTGCAGGCCTCCATCCCTCATCTCTTCGAGGACGCGTCCCGCGCCTGCCCCGGGCGGTGGCCTTCCCCCGCACCACACGCGACCAGAACCACCCAGGGTGCGAGGCGCGAGGACGGCCCCAGCACCGGCAAATCTACCGGCAAATGAGACGGGGTCCACGACGCGGGAAGATGTACTCTGGAAAGTGCATGAATGTCGCACACTTGTAGGTGTGTGAATATCACACAATTGCAGGTGTGTGAATGCGAATTCGTACATTGAAGGTGGAAAATGTGTGAATTTTCGCTTATAATTTACAAACTTGTGCCTCCATGTGTCCGAATGTCGTCCACACTACTACAAATGTGCGTCACATGCACATTTGAGTTACCGGTGGAAGGCAACCCAAAACGACGGGCGGTGGATGTCCGCAATCGACCTGACTCAAGCGGTGCCTCGGCCTCTCAGGTATGCCCGTAATAATTTACGAGACCCATGGGATGTCTTCCTGACGTGACCTTGACCTTGAGCTCGAACCCGATCAACCCCGCGCCGCCGGGGAAGCCCCATCCCTCGACTCATGATACCGTTTTCCGGCCAGTAATGCTTTGTATTCTTGAGAAAGGAACGCACTCATCGATGTTCATAAAGCTCCTGGTTGTCTTCCCGGTGTTTGCTTAGTGACTCCGAAGCCTGCCCGGAGTCTCTTGACTCAGTGTTCGCACGCACACTCCTGTACCCGACTGTTGTCTCAGCTCATCAGAAGCCACCGTGCTACGACGTGGAAGGGTGTTTTTTTGTTTTTTCTTTAAACATATTAATGTACGTATTAAATACACCGTTCTATTGTCGCGCTTTTCGGCGTCGTGGTGCTGGGACGCTCGGGACCGACAACCCGGTGCCTCTAGGAGGGCGTCATCGGCGGCGGCAAGGAGCGCTCTCTCCCTTTTCCTGGTGCTCTCCGAGGCGCTCTCCGAGGCGCTCTCCGAGTCTTCTCACCTCCTCTCTGTATTGTGGCTGGAGCGCGTTTATAAATAGACCTGCACAGGTCTGACGTCACGCCCGCCACGCGAGCCGCGCGGGCCGCGGACAAGTGATTGGTCGTTAGCCGGGCCGCTCCGGAGAGAGACTGCGTCATACGCGCTCGCCGCTCGACACATGTGATTCACCTTCACTCGGACCGCGTTTTCCCATCCGAAACACGGGCGGTCCGGGCGGCGCGGGGAAATCTGCGACGTCTTGTTACGGCAGCCTGCGGCAGCCGTACGGTGATTCCCCGCGGCCTGCTCGGTGACGCGCGGCGTGCGTGCCGTGCGGCCCGACGGTCCTGCCGCTGCGGCCGCGCCCCCGGCCGCGCCCCCGGC